TCCAGAGGTTGGTCAAAGCCGAAATATGAGTTGAAGTGTTTTTACTGTGGAAAGACAGGTCATAAGAAGCCAGATTGCTGGACTCTGCAGAATGATGAGAAGAACGGCTCAGTGAAGCCGGATCAGATTATTCCCAAGAAGAGGGAAGACATGAGCACCACTGCGATGGCTGCCAACCCGGATGCCGAGATATTCCTCCTAGGTGAGGATAATTATTTGAATGTTGCATATGATGACTGCACCTGGATTGTTGACTTCGGTGCCTCCTTCCACGTTACTCCACACAAAGGTTTTTTCTCCTCTTACCGAGGAGGTGATTTTGGAGTTGTGAAGATGGGAAATCAAGTGACCAGCAAGATTGTTGGTGTCGGTGATGTAACTCTGACCACAGATGTCGGATGCCAACTTGTGTTGAAAGATGTAAGGCATGTTCCTGACATGCGATTGAACCTAATCTCGGTAGGCAAACTTGATGATGCCGAGTTAGTGAACTACTTCGGTAGTGTGAGATGGAAGCTAGCCAAGGGAAACTTGGTCGTGGCCCGAGGTAAGAAGGAAGGCTCCTTGTACGTGATGCAAGGAAAAATCAATGGTGGAGAAGCCAATTCTGTTCGAGATGAACCTAGCTTGGAGCTATGGCACTAGCGCCTCGGCCACGTGAGCGAGAAAGGGCTACAGATCCTGAACAAAAAAGGATTACTGACCGGGTTGAAAGGCCAAGCGTTGGAGAGTTGCACGCACTGCCTAGCTGGAAAGCAGCACCGGGTTTCTTTTGTGAGACCGGATCAACCAAGACGACGCAGGTATATTCTTGACCTCGTCCATACTGATGTCTGCTCTATGTCGGAAAGATCCCTTGGAGGAGCTCAGTACTTTGTTTCATTTATTGATGACCATTCCCGCAAAGTGTGGGTATATTTGTTGAAGTCTAAAGACCAAGTACTCCAATCCTTTAAAGCATTCCATGCGATGGTTGAAATGGAGACTAGCAAGAAATTAAAGGTGGTCCGATCTGATAATGGTGGTGAGTATTGCAGCCCATTTGATGCATACTGCAGAGCGGCCGGGATCAGACTTGAGAAGACGCCCCTAAGACTCCACTGTTGAATGGACTGGCTGAGAGGATGAACAAGACTATTGAAGAGAAGGTCCGAAGTATGCTATCCAATGTTGGATTGCCGAAATCATTCTGGGGAGAAGCCGTCAAAACAGCTGTTGACTTGATCAACCTCTCACCATCATGGCCACTTGAAGGAGAAATTCCGGAAGAAGTCTGGACAGGTCGGAAAGCGGCCTATAATCAATTGAAAGTGTTTGGATGCCGAGCTTTCGTGCATATCCCTAAAGATGAAAGGGCAAAACTCGATGCGAAGACAAAAGAATGCATCTATCTTGGTTCGCCGAGATGTGAGTTCGGGTTTCGACTTTGGGATCCAATCAATAAGAAGATCGTGAGAAGCCGAGATGTGATCTTTCATGAGCATGAGAACATTCATGACATCTCGAAGCCCAAAGTCCGAGTTACTGTCAAACGTGAAGAACTCATCCCTCATGTCCGAGCTGAAGCAGGGGGAGAAAATCAAGAGAATGAAGAGATTAATGACCAGCAACAAGCTGAAGATGACCAAGACATTGAGGTCCGAGTTGAGGATGAGATCCGGGATAAGAATGATGAACCGGGTTCTCAAGCTGAAGAACAACCGAGATATCCAACTCGAGAAAGAATACCCTCTACAATATACTCATCTGATGAATACACCGTTGTTGCTGAAGACGGTGAGCCTCAGAGTTATGATGAGGCTGTGACGAGCTCAGAGAAAGAAGAATGGGAAAATGCAATGCAAGACGAGATGAAGTCTCTGCACGAGAATCAGACTTATGAGCTGACCGAGTTGCCGAAAGGAAGACGAGCTTTGAAAAACAAATGGGTCTACAAGATTAAGAACGAAGAGAACGGGCAAAAGTCGAGATACAAAGCCCAGATTGTAGTGAAAGGCTGCAATCAGAAGAAAGAAGGAGATTTTGAGGAGATTTTTTCTCCTGTGGTGAAAATGACCTCGGTCCGAACTGTGTTAGCCATGGCGGCTTCAATGGACCTCGAGGTAGAACAAATGGACGTGAAGACGGCATTTCTTCACGGTGATTTAGAAGAAGAAATATATATGGAGCAACCTGAAGGGTTCCGAGCTCTTGACCAAGAAGACTTGGTATGTCGGTTAAAAAAGAGCCTCTATGGCTTGAAGCAAGCACCTCGGCAGTGGTACAAGAAGTTTGAATCATTTATGACTGATCATAAGTTTGAGAAGACAGAAGCCGACCACTGCGTATTTGTGAAGAGGTATGAGGCCGGAGATTTTTTGATCTTGTTATTCTATGTTGACGACATGCTTATTGTAGGGAAAGACAAATCGAGGATAGTCGCCCTGAAAAAGGCGTTGAGCTCGTCCTTCGCAATGAAGGACCTCGACCCTGCAAAGCAGATTCTCGGAATCAAGATCATCCGAGATAGACAAAAGAAGCTAATGTGGCTAAGTCAAGAGAAGTATATTGAGAAGATTCTGAAGAGATTTAGCATGGACAAAGCCAAAACAATGAGCACCCCCTTTGCCGGACACATAAAGCTGAACCAGAAGCAATGTCCAAGATATGATGAAGACAAAGATGAGATGATGAAGGTCCCGTACCAATCCGCCGTGGGAAGCTTGATGTATGCAATGGTTTGCACCAGACCCGACTTGGCATATGCTGTTGGAATGGTAAGCCGGTATCTGTCAAACCCCGGCAAAGAGCACTAGGAAGCAGTGAAGTGGATCTTCAAGTACCTCCGAGGTACAACCGACTTATGTCTCCGATTTGGAGAAGACAAAACCGAGTTGCAAGGCTACTCGGATTCTGATTTAGGGGGAGACGCCGACTCGAGGAAGTCGACTACAGGATATTTGATGAGATTTGCCGGAGGAGCTGTCTCTTGGCAATCAAGACTTCAGAAATGTGTTCCATTATCGACAACTAAGGCTGAGTACATTGCCGCTACTGAGGCAAGCAAATAGATGCTGTGGATGAAGAAGTTCCTCATGGAACTCGGCCATGATCAAGACAAGTACGAGCTGGATTGTGACAATCAAAGTGCAATCAATCTTGCAAAGAATTCAACCTATCACTCCCGCACTAAGCATATTGATGTGAGGTATCACTAGATCCGGGATGTGGTGGAAGGTGGAGAGCTCGAACTCGTCAAGGTGCACACTAACCATAATTGGTCCGACATGATGACAAAGCCGGTTCCAGCAAGAAAATTTGAAGACTGCTGTGAAGGAGCCGGGTTGATGTTGAAGCCGATGCGTTGAAGTCGGAGGGGGAGATTTGTTGGGCTTCCTCCTTCAATGCTAAGCCCAAGCCCATTTGAGGGGTTTCCTAAAATCTCTAACCCTAATTTCCACCTCCTCTATATATACTCATTAGTTGTGGGTGGAGGCTAGGTCAGAGTATGAGAGAACAGATTTGAGAGAAAAATTGTTTGAGTGTTTTGAGCAAAGCTTTATGCTTTGTATTTGAGAGATCTCTAGAGAGAGTTTGAGTGAAACATCTCTAGGATAGTTTGATTATCACCATTGTTGGAGAGGTTGAGTTAACCACCACATTGGTGTATTTGATTCTTTGTAACCATTATTTTCATAATGGATTTTTCATCTGGACTAGGTCCCGTGGATTTTTACTTCTTCATTGGAGAATATTTTCCCACGTTAAAAACTTTTTGTGTTCTCTCTCTCTCCTCCTCTTCTCTCTCCCGTGTTTTTCGTTTTGATTTTTTCGCTGTGCTGCCCGATCTGATGAAGTTCAGGCCGAGGTATTGCCGAGATCCGAAATCAGGATCTTGTTGATTGACTTTCGCACAAAGGCTGCTTAGCCGAGCTTGAGGGAACCGAGTTTTTCCAACAAGATACTCTCTCCATAGACCACAGAAAAAATGCTTCTATATAATACTTTTCTTATTAAATACCATGTATCCGGTGACGTGCCAATTCATGATTGTGACGTGAAGATTCAATTTTCACTATTTGGCACATGACTCCGAATGAGTATGTGTAAGGATTAAGTTGTGAAGTTAAGGGTTAGCTATATCTTCTAAATATAAATGCTCCAAATGAAAATTTGATTGTGTAATTTTCTGTAATATGGTTGACAACTGTTCATAATTCCTTTATCAGTATGTGTGATTGTTTCATTTATCCTTTACTTATCAAATTTATTCTTTTTATCAGTTATGTTGGTATTGATCAAATTCAGAAGGCTTTATATCATGAAAGTTATTTTCTTTTCCTTTTATATATATATATATATATATATATATATATATATATATATTAAAGTTTGGAACGCCTGCGGTTTGGCCCTAGCCCATAGGTAATATTGAATGTAAATTTTTTTAAATTTGGGTAGGTTGATACATTCTCTCTATATATAGGTAAGTATTAAGACTTAATAATAAGTAATTTTTTATTTTTCAAATAGTTAACAGTATTAAATTAATAGTTAATAAAAAAGTTTAATTTTTGGTTGTTTAGAATTTATATCGATGAAGAATAGTGAAGTGTAATTTCCTCTAGGTTAACACATATCCTGAATCTGAATCATTTGATCCTTCCCTTGTGCAGCTATGATCTTCTCCTCAACCTTGCAACTCTCAATGGTTGAAATTTCTGGGTCGACGGCTGCTCCATTGTCTTGGCTTGCTGTAGTAATAACCCCTCCTTACATTCTGTGACCGCCCCCTTCAAGCAGATATGGAAGCCCTCCACCATTTTTATCTATTCTGTTGTGGTCTCCATCCTTACACTTAAAATCTTACCTTGTATTTCTCCAGATTATTCCCCATTCCACCAATCCAAGGTGAACATAGTTGAGTGCTGCATTGTTTTTATCTATTAACATTTATGTGGGAAACCTAAATATATATATGCATAGCAGGTGCTCGAAGAAATTCCTTATAAACAAAATTCATGGGCAAGAAAGGAGGGGCAAAAAAATTGCCAAATTTAGAATATGGGTCCCGCACCCCAATATCATTGAGGGAAGAAGCCACTGGAAAAATACAAACCAAGCCAGCCTCTAACCTCAAGTCAATTTTGCGATTTGAGCACTTGAAAAAGCTAGCATTGTGGGCAACTAATGACCCTTTGATACCGTCTTTGGGTGCCTTCTATGGCCAGCATTTGGCTACCGTTGGAGAGGCCACAGGAATACCGCCTGATCCTTCTTTAATGACTTGCCAAAGGTTTGCTTTTCCATTTTGTTTCCTATATCATTCTTGCTTACAGATTTTGTTTGTTTTTATGTGCTTAGTTATCATTGTGTTTTAATGCCTTTAGTAAATTTGAAAAGTTGAACTATGAAGATGGGTGAGTTATAAAAATACGTTTTCAACTTTTTGAATAGTGTAATACGGAGCAATATGATCTTGTCCCGAGCAGGTTCCCGGATTAGAGGGCCTTCCAGATACCTGAGTATTGGGCGCCTGGCTAGGTGAGAGGCCACTCTTGTCTATGGGCAAAACTTGCCTTTGCCCGCCAGCCAGCCATGTCTTACTAGCTTACGAGGTGGCCTTTTCTCAATATTTCTGTGTCACCACTACATCACCCAGGATCACCACCTGCAGGATTTGTACGGTGAATAACCCCACATTCTCCCAACTGCCACAAGGCCTCTATAAAAGGCTAGTATAGCGTCAAGGGGGGAAATATACACACACACACACACACACTTCCAGGGCATTCCTCTGATGTGCACACACACCCCCTCCTTGTTATTTCTATCTGACATTTGATTGGAGGTTCTGATCCATACTTTATCAAACATCTTTGCCATCCCTCCGTGGATAGATATAACAGCTTCCATTAGTTGGACACGATCCATATATTATTTGTGGAATGTGTCAAGTTTCAAATTAACAGACCATCTGTTCTTGTGCTCCTCTTTGTTATGCTATACTTCAGTAAGATGGTTTAGTTTATAAGTTTTTCTGCTTACTTTTAGCATCCATGTGGTGTATTGTTGAAGCATTTGGTGATCTTTTGTTATAATGTAATTGATAGAATAAAGAACATGAGATAGCTCTAACAGCTACAAATGTTTGAAGTTACTTTTATTTATTTATTGGATGTGTTTGAATATCTCAGATTAACTTCCTAGGTTATCTTTAAACAGTTGATACTTGGAAATTTCATAAGATTCAGTATAAAATATTCTTAAATCATTTGACTACTCTACAGATGTGAAACTGTACTGCATCCCGGCTTTAATTCAACTGTACGAATTGAGAAGAATAGATCAAAGGTGAGACATAAACACAGGAAGTCGGGTACCGTCACTCAAAATAACATAGTATACAAGTGCCATTTCTGTTTCCATCAGAATTTGAAGAGAGGGACCCCTAAGGGACATATAAAAGGAATATGCCCATCAAAAGATAAATCATTGTTAGAATCAACACCTCCTTCAAGACCCGTCACACACGGGTGTTCAAAGTTAGAGAAAGGCATTATAAGCAAAGATGAAGCTAATGAAATAAATATGTTTGCTTCACGAGCTGTAGTTAAGGACGTGGCTCTTATAGATAGTCTGGCAACTCCCCCAAGTACAAGTACTACGTCTACAACCTTGTCAGAAGGGAAGAAGAGAAGGAGAAATAGTTTGACGTCTGAGAAAGCAATTGAAATGACAGGCATGTCTGCAAAAGTAGAAGAAGCAAAATCTCTAAGCACAGCGAGCAAAAGACGAAGAAAATCTTGGACTAGTTTAAAGAAAATTGCTCAGAGCAACGATCATGAGAACAGTCAGGTTGCTAATTTGACAGTCCCATTCTTTTTATAAGCAGTGATTTTGATTTTTTTAATATATAGGCCAAATTCAATTGTTTTTCTTTATACATTATGCCTGAAGGTTTTTTTTATTTTATATTTATATATATATATATATACTACAAGCAATTTTTTGTTTTTGGTGTTTGATGCTCTGTTGAACTGATTTTGTTGTGCTGAATGGATAACAGTACTTTTTTTTTTTGGTAGTTTTAATTTATCTGAGTGGGCAGCAATAATTTGGTTGTTGCATTTGCCAATTGAAAGTGACTCTGAATTCACAATTAAGGCTTTGTTTGTATTGATGACAAGTAATTTGGATTGATAAAATGGAATGGAATAGTGACAGACTTTTTTTTAGATTCTACGAGGGATGCAAACAGTATATTTCATTAGAATTTGTTCTTGGTCTGGATATTTCAGCACAATTCAACTGGAACGAATTGCGGTATCCAAAAACACTTGTCATTTGTCAAAATAGTTTACAGTTTGATGGAAATTTGAATGGAACAATTTGTCATGTCCAAAAAAGCTGTTGTCAAAATAGGTTACAAACAATTGTCAAAGTAGTTTACAGTTTAATGGATTCGAAAATATTTGAATGTATTTAAATGAATTTTGGATGTAATTCTATCTAATTGTAGCTAACTGCACCAAATAAAGTTCTAAATAATTTTCAGAAGTTCAACAAAATATAACTAATGGTACTTCAAAAAAAATATTTTAAATCAATTTTTTTTTTGAAAATTTAAATTAAAAAAAAAAACCTATTCAAAAGTATCTTTACTTACACGTAAATGTGTTGACAAAATTATTAGAGATTTTCATTTAATTAAGTACAACTAACCAATATGTATGTGTTTGTGTAAGTAACAATATTATCGAAAGAAACTCTAAATAATAATGCATGAGAACTGTAGTCTTCCCTGTTGTTAAATAATATAAAATCCTCTTAAGAAGGTAAAAGACAAAATCAATTTTTTACCATCATCACACCTTTTCTAAAAAATAATTTCATCAAAGTGATTCATCTAAATGCATAACTTGTTGAGATATATAATCCCACATTGATTGGACGGGCAACTAATATGGCCTTTATAAGGCCTTGGGCACTCCCACCCCTTGAGCTAGCTTTTGGGGTGGTGACCTCAAGGTTCTTAACATAACTAGCTCTTCTAGAGCCATCACATTCCAAATATTGTTGCAAGCGTGACCACGGTAGTAGTTATGTATACGACCATATATAATTATGTAATTGTATTGTATTCACTTCAAGAAATGACAGAGAACTGATTGGTCGTAATTAACAATTCGTCATCAAATATGACCAAAATTTGTATCATGTCTAAAATTATAATTTCCAACATTCACTTAAGGGAATATGGTTCAATCTATTGACCAAACTTTACAAGCCTTTTTTTCTTGATATAACTACTGTTGTAGCATATTCAAAAGCCATAAAATATAAAAAATATTTTCTTTTAATATTTTATTTCAAATTATTTTACAAATCTATAAGATCTTTTCAATCATGGTTTAAAGTTATAATTCCTCGGGAGCTATACCATATATATTCATTAAAATAATTACCAAGAAAAATGATTGGTTTTGTCCAATAATTCTAGGATATATAAAATATAACTTATTCAGGAAGTTAACAAAATTAACAAACTCAATATAAGACAAAACATGTTAGTCAATAATATTCGACAATAAAATCTCCATGGATGAAACATAAAAATATATCTGTATTTTTTAAACAACATGAAGAAAACCATAAAAGATAATTAAGCAATGAATGAAGTTAATATAAAACAAAATAATAAGAAACATTAATCTAAATATGTATTTGCTACTTCAAGATTAATAACTGACAAAGATATTATTTGTCTTAGAAGTGGTTAAGGCAATATGAGTAATTTTCATGGCATGAGATTCACCATGCATGTTCTTAATTTATTTTTATTTAGCCACCGTTATTTGGTTTCTTTCCTTTTTATGATTTGATCCAATGTTGAATTTTCTTCCACCCTTTCAATGGTTATATCATTGACTTTCTTTCATAGATTTGGCATTTGCTTCGGGCAATATTTTTGAAGCGGATTATTGACTTTGCTTTTGAATCAATGAGTTTAAAATTATAATTATTTCCACTCTCTTCAAGGGTTTGAAATTTTGGTTTTTCAACATTTGCCATAACATAATAATAAAATCTTTAAATCCTTAAATTAATAATAATAATTAACGAATGCTCACTGCTACTTCAGGAGCTGAATAATATATGTTGTCAAATAACCATTGCCACTTGTTGACAAAAAAAATAAAATAAAAATCTCCTTCCTTTGTGGATCTATGAGCCTTAGTTTGATATTGTAAAAGCTATTGTGCTGATAACGTATTATGAAATTCATAAATTGATAGAGAATGTAAGATAAATGAATAAAATAGTAGAGAAGAAATGAAAATAGAGGAAGAGAATATAGAAAGAGAACTTGTGTCAAATTTTAGTCAATTTCATATATTTCTTTACAAGTAGACAATAACCTATATTTATAGGTTGAAGGAGAATACACCAAAGGTTAATCACCATAAAGATATACTAGTGGTTACATTGCAAAGGGTTAATGGAGAATATGTAAAGACAAAACGATGTGAAGTCAGAGAGAGGTGAAACATCCACAATTTATTTCATAACACTAAATTCTATTGTTAAAAGATAAAAAAAATGATTAAATGATTAAATGATTTTCATATTATTAATATAAAAATGTCATATAGGCATAAATTTTTTTATCAAAATTAAAAAATAGAACTTATGTTCAAAATTAAAGGAAATTTTTTGACTTACCACGAACATATGTCTATACCATTCGGAAATGGATCATCTCATGTGTAATTTAACATGACCATGTCATGTGTGAAGATCTTAACCATTAATAATTAAATCAACGGTGATGATTGTGTAACTTTCTATCTTTATATTTTTTCTCTCTCTACCCCTCTCATGACTGTGACATGATCATGTTGATTAACACATTAGAGAATCCACTCCCATACCATTCATTACATCTAACTATTATCCGAATTTATAGAGGTTATTATAATTATTTTATCTATTTGCAATATGAAACTTACAACATTAATTGGGGATGTAGCTCAGATGGTAGAGCGCTCGCTTAGCATGCGAGAGGTACGGGGATCGATACCCCGCATCTCCACCTCATATTTTCCTACTACTACTTTTTAAGTCTTTAACATCAACATCGTCTTTTGCTTGCTCGATTTTTTCTGTGCTCCAAAGCAAACAGCTGCCAAACTTGTGCATCTGATACGTGCAAACCAAGAAAAAGCAATTGCGACTGCCTTTTTATCATTTCAATTGTGCCAAACAGATAGACCAATTTGTGCTGCTACGTGCTTTCCTATAAGACCAAACTTCCTTTACACCTCCATAGGCTAACACGTTCATCAACTTCACTATTGTTTTTCTCTCCCTAGCTTACACCTTTTTCTACTACCATATATCACATAGTTCTTGTTGTCCTTCACCGATTAGCAATTAGAACCACTTAGATCCTCATCTTCATTTACTTTCGAATTTTTGTATTCGTTCACTTCCTTACCTTTCACACTTTCTACAGCATCCCACATCTTAATTAGTGGCAAAGAAAATAAAGTAAAAGTTGACCAATGGAATACGGAACTTCTCACGGTTCTAACATCAGATAACCATTCTCCATTAGATCTTAATTATACGCAACATCTATATTTATTCTAAACAAAACTATTTGTTGGCAAGTTTGATTAATGACATGTCAATTTTTCATGTATTCTCCACTTTGTGTTCACACTACATTTACTTCAATTTTTTTCCTCTTAAAAAAACATTTGGAATTTCAATTGCTATTAATTCATTTCTGTGAAACAATTTGAATTTGAATTATCATTATTTTTTAATATCTGTTAGTGACAGACAGTTGTATTAATATCCTACTACTTTCTACATTGAAATTGTTAACCCTATTAATTGTTCACACTAATTTCGGCATGGGTAATTGTTAAGCCTATTAATTGTTCCCACTACTTTTTGCATGTATAATTGTTAATCCTATTAATTGTTAGAAGCTTTAAAAATTAAATTTTAATATAAAAAAAATGAGTTTAAAAATGAATTTAGCATGTAGTACATGTATAAATAGGATATGTGTTGCTGCATATTTTTCTTTGGTAATCACCTTTTGTACACATATTTCTTCCATTTATGTCTGTTTATCTTCTTCATCTTCTCAAGTTGTTCTTTTGCATAAGCTTACTTATTATTTATGTGTTTATAGTTTTCTATTTCATGTTTGTTGATCTTCCATGTTCATTGTTCTGTACTTTATTTCAATTTGGGAGCATTTGTTGAGCAAATAACGTTGGAAGAGGATCCAAGCAGGTCTACACTTTCTTCTACTCTGCCTTACAAATTTAAGATATATTTTATGTTTATTACCTCTCGATTTGGTTTGTACACTTTTGAGCTTGCGATTTAGATTTAAAATGATGTTACTACAAGTTTCATATGTTTCGGTTAGCTTAATTTTGTAGGGAAGATATATTGCCAGAAGGACTACAATAGGAACTGGAAGAATGTAAGAACAATGAAGTAAGTTATTTTGCCATCATTGTATTGAAAACACTATTATTGAAATGCATCACCATATATTATGTTGTTGTGTTGCTTTGCTTTGTTTAGGTAGTTGCAAATATACTATTTAAAGGTACTAAACTTAGGGATCATACAAAGGGAGTTGAGAACAATTTGCGCAAACTCGAATTGGATTCAATTCAGGTTTGTGGTCAATTTTCTAAAAATTTTATTGTTTATTTTTTTCCAGTACCCTTTTTGTAAGTCATCTAATTCTCAAAATTTTACTTTGCCAGACAATTGAGATTGGAAAGGTTGTCAATCCTCTCTGAAAGCATGCATCGATATGAGACCAGAAAGAAACTAGTTGAGCAACGTCCAAG